GTGGCGCCTCCAAAGGCTTCCGCCGCGGGCAGGTGAAGCAGCGGAGACAGGGAGTCGGCCGGGTCTCCGGGGCTGCTGCGGCCGCGGAGCTCCGGGGAGCCGCCGAGGCGAGCATGAGGCGGCGGTCGGCGCGGTCCGGGCCGGTGAGAGGAGCCGGGCCGGGGAAGGGAAGAGCAGGAACGGATGGAGGGGAGCCGCGCTTCCCCCTCCCTTTCGCAAAGCACAAAAGTGGGCGTGGCGGGGAGGCGTGGCTTTCGCGGGGGAAGGCGTGGCCGGCGCGAGATTGACAGGCTGCTTCTGCTGGCGGGATGGAAGCCTGGGGCGCTTCTCCAAGCGGGCGCCCTCTGCTCGGGGTGGGGTGGGGGGACTGCCGCCCCCATCGTTCCCAGCCGTTCATGGAGAGGGGAATCCTCCTCCTCGCCTCTCCCTTCGTGCGATGAAAGGGGTGGGGAGTCGTTTCAAAGGATGCTGAGCCAGATTCTGGGGAGGGACGGCTGGGGATGATGGGAGTTGTTGCTTTGGGTTTGAAGCATGGAATAGGAGTTGGGAGAGATTCAGCCCTGGGTTGTGTGTGTGTGTGTGTGTGTGTGTCTCACACGACGTTTTATCTACCGTAGATGCATTGGATTGATCTCTTGCTTTTTTTTGCACAATGGATGGCAGGGCAAGGAGCGTTCAGTTTTGGTTTCTGCAACAACAGCCCTGCAAGGGAGGCTGGGGTTGGTCTCAAGTCACCCATGAAAGCCAGCTGGGTGGCTTTGGACCAATCACCAGGAGACGGGGAGTTCTAGTCCCACCATAGGGCTCAAAACCAGCTAGGTGACTTTGGGCAAATCGCTAGGAGACTGGGAGTTCTAGTCCTCTTAAACATGAAAAACCAACTGGTAACTTTGAGTCTACCACCAGGAAAGTGTGAGTTCTAGTCCTGCCTTAGGCGTGAAAGCCAACTGGCTGACTTTGGCCCAATCACCCGGAAGTGTGTTTCAGTCTCACTTTAGATACAAAAGCTGATTGGGTGGCTTTGGGTCAATCACCTGGAGACGGGGAGTTCTAGTCCCACCTTAGTCATGAAAGCCAGCTAGGTGACTTTGGGCCAATCGCCATGAGACAGGGAGTTCCAGTCCCACCATAAGCCTCAAAGCCAGCTGGGTGACTTTGGGCCAACCGCCAGGTGATGAGGAGTTCTAGTCCTCTTAAATATGAAAAGCCAACTGGTAACTTTGAGTCTATCACCAGGAGAGTGTGAGTTCTAGTCCTGTCAAAGGTATGAAAACCAACTGGGTGACTTTGGCCCATTCACCAGGAAGTATGTTTCAGTCTCACTGTAGATATGAAAGCTGATAGGGTGACTTTGGCCCAATCAACCGGGAGACGGGGAGTTCTAGTCCTGCCTTAGGCATGAAAGCCAGCTGGGTGACTTTGGGCCAGTCCCTCTTGAGCTGCCTTGAGTTATTTAAAAGAAAAGTGGGATAAAACTAAATAAATCTCTCCTGTAAAATCACAGCATGCATGTGACGATGCTAAAATACCTCCGCTTTCTCTTTTCTTTTTAGGCAGGCTGATCGCTTGAGCTCTTCGGTTTTCTCCTAAATCTTCACTTAACCTTCAGAAATCTGGGGAAAAAAATGGCGTTCGTTTCAACCCAGGGGCCCACCGTGGTCGACCAGACCACCTTAATGAAGAAGTATCTCCAGTTTGTGGCGGCTCTCACCGATGCCAACACACGTAAGTTTCTTTCCGGCGCTGGTTTCCTTGGGGCACAGACCTTTGAACCACCTCTCTTGCAAATCATACTTGGCAAATTCTGAATTATCCTCCAGATGGAGTTGTGAACTCTGAAACCCAGAATTTGAGCAACCATGATGGTGCAAATTGGAGGCTGGATTACTTTTTGCACCCGAGAGGGTAGGGAATGCGCGTGAGGGGACGCAAACCCAGGTTTTTCTGCAGCTGCGTCGTTTCTGGCCTGCTTGGAGACCTAACGGAGAAGCAGATGATGATATATTCTTTCTCTTGAACCCCTACACAAAAATCACATGGGTGTGAGTGCGTGGAGAGGAGTGTGTGTGTGTTTGTGTGAAGAGGCTTGGCTGGGGAATGGTGATGTGCTGATGTATAAAATGGGGGCCGTGTGAGCCAAACTGATAAGATCTGATGGCTTCTTCCGGGGGTTTTTTCAAATAACGCCTCTCTGATGCAGGTAAATATATATTTCAACGCCTGCCTTTCGTTCTTGCTTTGCAGCCGATGAAACGAAACTGAAGATGATGCAAGAAGTTAGTGAAAACTTTGAGGTAACAGTACTGGGATTTGGTGGGTATGCTGGACATTTGGGGCCATTGTTGATTGGAGGGTCAACTCACAAATATTTCTCTGGTCTTTTAGAGTTACCAGCAGAAAGGGAATGGGGGAAAACAATGCATTCCTTAAATGCTTCAGACAATTACTAGGCAGCCGAGGCTTCTGGCGCGCAAGATTATTACCGGAGAGCATGATTGATGACTCTTGGCTATGGATGTGTCCCGTTGGAGAATATACACCCAGGGGGTGGAGGGAAGACCAGGGTCAAGGGTGAAATGTGTGTCAGAGTCAGCTACACCCAGGTAGCGCTGGCATGTTCACTCCTAATAAATCTTTTTTTCCAAACTCTGAGAGACGCAGCTAGACATGATTTGAATGGGGTGGATGCCAGAGCCCTAACAGCTAGCCGACTGAGGCACATCAGCAGTTGGGGGGGCCCTCCTCTTGTGGAGGTTTGCTGGCCATTCTCTCGCGTCTCCTTCCAACCCCTCGGAGATGGCGTTCACCATTGCTGGATCGGCAAGCTGACTGGGGAACAAGCTGAGTGGGGAAATTCTGGGAGTTGAAGTCCCCCCCCTCTTAAAGTTGAGGTTGAGAAATAAAGTTGAGGTTGAGAAAGCGGTATTCTACACTCTCTGCGTGATTGGAAACCCCCCAAAGTCTTCTATTTTTCTCTCGCTAGAATGTTACCTCGTCTCCTCAATATTCCACATTCTTGGAACACATCATCCCTCGCTTCCTTACGTTTCTCCAAGACGGGGAAGTGCAGTTCCTCCAGGAAAAACCTGCGCAGGTATTCTCCAGAATAATCATTCTTCGTTCCACTGGGATGGTTTTCAGCCTCTTTCGTGGGCCTTGTAAAAGCAGCTGGCTGAAATCCATGCTGGCCAAACAGCATAATTGTGTAGAATGTTACATAATCTTAAAAATCCTCTGTAAAGACATGTGCGCCATCTTTTTAAATCTTGGAAGAAAGAAGGTGAAATTACAGAAAAAAAAAACCCAATCCTGCTTGAGTTTGTATACCATCACTAGTTGCAACACAACAAGTTCAGCGCACCTTCTGTGAGATCTTTTTTTGACCTTCCAAGTTTTATTAAGAATTCCTGGTGTCTCTCTTGGGATACAAGCTTGCTTAATTTTTTGATGCTAGCCAAAAAGAACTGGCAGTTAGCCTTTTGATTATTTCTTTTTAATCTCACTTAAGTAAAACCTCAGTTAAGTTTTTCATGAATTTAAAATTTGCAGACCTGCACAGCTTCAATTAACGTTTTTGTGTTTAATTGGGGTCTTTTATCTTAACACAAACCTGTTTACCTTTCAAAACTAAGTTCTGTTCCTTGTTTTTTTTTTCCCTCCCCTTATGCAGCAACTGAGAAAATTAGTTTTGGAAATAATCCATAGAATACCAACCAACGAGCATCTGCGCCCGCACACCAAAAATATCTTATCTGTGATGTTTAGATTTCTAGAGGTAATTCTATTTGATTCTTCTCGCCTATTTTTTCCCCAAACCGTTGGCAGTATGCGATTCTGATTTTTGCTATTTAATAAACCCTTGTCCATCTCTCTCCCACCCTCATTTTTAGACCGAAAATGAAGAAAATGTACTTATTTGCTTGAGGATAATTATTGAGCTTCACAAACAATTCCGTCCACCTATCACACAAGAGGTAAATAATTTCCTGGCCAAAGTTTTTAATTTAGTGACCTGCAGTTGCATGACATAGTCAGAACTGGCAAACATTTTGGGGTTCCCACATGTAATCTCTGGGGGAGAAGAATGTTAAGTTAGGGTGGACAGTAGGTGTGGTTTCCTCAAGCAGCAGATCCTGGGTTGGACTTTTCCCAAGGCTAGATTTTGAAACCAAATTTCTCATAATACTTTCCTCCTTTTTCTGCAGATCCACCATTTCTTGGATTTTGTGAAACAGATTTACAAGGAGCTTCCAAAAGTCGTGGTAGGTAATACGAAGATACGTTTTTTCTTCTATGTTGCATGAAAGTTTTATCGGTCTTGATCCAGTAGCACTGAATCGCCAAGGCTTCTCTACCCTGCGGGCTGGTCTTCCTAAATTCCTTATCCCAGAATCCGTGAGTTCCAATGACTTTCGCATCGCAGTCTGCGATCGGCAGCTCGAGTGACGCTTCGGTTGTGTTTCTTAACCCCAGAACCGGTACTTTGAGAATCCTCAAGTTGTCCCTGAGAACACCATCCCTACCCCAGAAATGGTGGGCTTGATCACGACGATTGTAGTGAAAGTAAATCCGGAGAGAGACGACAGTGAAACCAGATCGGTGAGTGCAAGGGTCATTTTTGTAGGAGGAGGAGGAGTGGCAGAGCCCGGCGGGGGGGCAGAGTCAAAAGGGGAATCAGCTTAGAATCCTTACGTAGCCACAAGCGAACTAAGTCTAACTTCCCTTGAGCGTTATTGATCATTACCTGACTCCAAATGGTTGCTGAGCGTGAGTTTAAAAGATTCCTGTGCATAGGCTGTTGAGCAGTAAACCAGTTTCATTGGACCTTCGTGTGTCTTTCACACCTGGCAAGAAGGGAATGCAAGAAAGGAAAGGAGGGAGGGAGAGAAAGAAATGGGGATGACAGGAAGGAGGTGTGTAGGAGAAGGGACGAGAAGAGCACCTGGGGTGGAGTTAAAAGAGGAATCAGCCTAGAATCCCTGCATAACCACAAACAAACTAAGCCTGACGTCTTTTGAATTGACCATTCCATTTTTTTATCCTTTTTCAGCATGCAGTCATTCCTCGTGGCTCCCTTTCCTTGAAAGTTTTAGCAGAACTTCCCATAATCGTTGTCCTCATGTATCAGGTTCGTACAAAACGGTGTCTAAATTCCTATTTTTGGCCCACACAAACTCCCTGCTACTTCTTTCTTCTTCTTTCCCTCATCAGAGGTGAGACTAAGAGAGAGGTGTAATTTCATGTGTGTCTGAACATGGTTGCTACCCTTCTCAAATTGCTTAAAACAGAAAAACGTAAGGTTGCTGGTTGCCCTCGTCTAACACGCCTCTTTGTTTTTACCTTAGCTCTATAAACTAAATATTCACAACGTGGTAGCTGAATTTGTGCCCTTGATCATGAACACCATAATTATTCAAGTCTCCAACCAAGCCAGGTATGCATAAGGAACGAAAACCGTTAACAAATCCTGAACTGTGTAAACGGACGTACGCTGCTGATTCAGAGAAAAAAGGAATAAAGTTTAGCATTCCAGCATTCAATTTCAGAGTTCCTGTTAATTATTCAAGAAAAAAACACACCATTGTCTTCAGCCTTCACGTGTGGAAGAGTTTTATAACCGTTGAGTTTGGAAACTGCTCTGCTAGCTCTTTAGTCTTTAAGGCAGGGAATGGCAAGATTTTATTTTTTTCAAGCCGAGGTCTGCATTTATGACTACCCAAAAAGGGACAGGCCGGGACCAAACCTCAAAGGAATTTGATTATAATTGCCTTATTTAACTAAGTGCAAAACATATCCTTGGTTTGTTTTTAAGCATGGTTGTATTAAACATTGCAATCTGGTGGTGACAGAGGGGGGCGGGTTCTTAGGGGAATCTATAATGAAAGATTTCTCATCCTGGTTTAGAGAGGTAAGCTTTGGTATTGTGCACTTTTGAATATTAATTTGGTATCTTAAGTGCAAGGCTGTTTATGCTACTCAGGATTAATCTCATTGGACACGGTGGGACTTCACTTCCAGCGAGGTCAATTGCTATCTCTCCCCCCCACCCCACCCCACCAACAAATAAGTGAGAAGACCTGTCTTTTTTTTAAAAGGAAACCAACCTGTGTGCTTTGAGGTTAACAGATATGTGCCCCAGAAGCATCTCCTTAGATAGAGATATTTTTAGCGGGAAAAGCGGAATATTCTTCTAAGGCACTGCCTACTTTCTATGCCTCTTACAAGGATTGTTTGTGCATATTTCATTGTTATTGTAGTTGCGAAGTCGTGTCTGACCCATCGCGACCCAGTGGACAATGTTCCTCCAGGCCTTTCTGTCCTCTACCATCTTCTGGAGTCTCTTTAAGCTCACGCCGACTGCTTCAGTGACTCCATCCAGCCCCCTCCTTCTCTGCTGTCTTCTTCTTCCTCTTCCTCTTCCTTCTCCTCTTCTCCTCCTCCTCCTCCTCCTCCTCCCCCCCCCCCAGTCGTTCCCAGCATTAGGCTCTTCTCCAGCAAAGAGAAGTTTTCATGAGGTGGCCAAAGTCCTCGAGTTTCATTTTCAGGATCTGGCCTTCTGAAGAGCAATCAGAGTTGATCTCCTCTACGACTGACTGGTTGGATGGCTTGGTAGTCCAAGGAACTCGCAGGAATATTCTCTTCCAGCCTCAGAGTTCAAAGGCCTCCATTCTTTGGCACTCGGCCTTCCTTATAGTCCCAACTTTCACAGCCATACATTGCAACTGGGGAAACCACAGCCTTGACTATACGCACTTTTGTTGGCAGGGGGATGTCTCTGCTTCTCATAGCAGCCATATTTCATAAACAGCCAGCTAATAATCGTTGTGATCAAATATCCCTTCTTCCATAATTCAGGCAGAATAAAAACTACAATAAGGAATTGTACGCTGACTTCATTGCTGCCCAGATCAAAACCTTGTCGTTCCTGGCTTACATTATAAGGATTTATCAGGTGAGCCTTGCTTGTATGATCTTCTTTGCCCCCTACGTGTAAGATCTTACTTCTTTGAAGTTCCTCTTCATTGAGATGTAAACAGTGGAGGTCACATCCACAACACGGAGGTGAATTTTAATTTTTCTTCTTTCCCCTCACCTTGCCAGGAGCTGGTAGCTAAGTATTCTCAGCAAATGGTGAAGGGAATGTTGCAACTACTGTCCAACTGTCCAGCAGAAACAGCTCACCTGAGGAAGGAACTACTCATCGCAGCCAAGCATATCCTCACCACCGACCTGAGGAGCCGTATGTATTTTGACCCTTTTCAAGTGGTTGCACGTAGTCCTCGACGTACAACCAGAACAGAGCCCACCATTTCTGCTGTGAAGTGAGATGCTTGAGCTTTGGCCCATTTCAAGACCTTTCTTGCCCTTAACTGTGAAGTGAATCACTGCAGTGGATAAGGGAGTACCACGGCGGCGACACAAAACTGGCTTCTCCGTTGACTTTGTCGCTAAAAAAAAGGATCGTATGACCTCGGGACACAGCTACGGTCATGAGCCGTGGTGGCGCAGTGGTTAAGATGCAGTACTGCAGGCTACTTCGGCTGACTGCCGGTTGCCGGCAGTTTGAATCTCACTAGGTTCAAGGTTGGCTCGGCCTTCCATCCTTCCGAGGTTGAGGACCCAGATTGTTGTGGGCAAGAGGCTGACCCTTCCTTCCTTCCTTCCTTCCTTCCTTCCTTCCTTCCTTCCTTCCTTCCTTCTATAGTGGCGTAGTAGTTAAAGTGCAGTATCGCAGGTTGACTCTGCCCACAGCCAGGAGTTCAAGTCTCTCCAAACTCAAGGTTGACTGTGCCTTCCATCCAAGATTGGTAAAAGGAGGACCCAGATTGTTGTGGGCAAGAGGCTGACTCAGTAAACCATTTGGAGAGGGCTGTAAAAGCACTATGAAGCTGTATATAAGTCTAAGTGCTATTGCTATCCTTCCTTCCATCCATCCATCCATCCATCCATCCATCCATCCATCCATAGCGGCATAGTAGTTAAAGTGCAGTATCACAGGCTGATTCTTCCCACAGCCAGGAGTTCAAATCTCCCCAGGCTCAAGGTTGATTCTGCCTTCCATCCAAGGTCGGTAAAACAAGGACCCAGAATGTTAGGAGCAAGAGGCTGACTCTGTAAACTGCTTAGAGAGGCTGTAAAGCACTATAAAGCGGCATATAAGTCTTAAGTACTATAAGTATGAACCAATTGCCAAGCATCTCAATTTTGATCACACAATCTTGGAGATGCCGGAAAGGTCGTAAGTGTGAAAAACGGTCCTAGGTCATAGCTTTCAGCGCCCATCATAACTTTGAACGGTTCCTAAACTGTTGTAAGTCCAGGACTACCGGTGCCATCTTAAATTAGTTATTTAGCATCTTAATAAAACCTCGTTGCTTTCCTTTCGACACTCATTTTGTTGCAAATTTTTGTTGCAGAGTTCATCCCCTGTATGGACAAATTGTTTGATGAATCCATACTCATAGGCTCTGGCTACACAGCCCGTGAAACGCTCAGGTGGGTAACACGCACTATTACCTGGAGGCCTTTTGAGCGGTCTTCTCTGAAAGTTGTAGGTGTCTGCAGGGGAAGGGAAATTGTGATGCACGTTGTAAAACAAAAAGTTCAACGAACATCTCGCTTAACAACAAAAATTTGGGGCGTCGAATGTAGCCATAAGTCAAGGTCTACCGTTGTTCTGACCAAGGCTTCCTAGACTGTAATTACGGGCACACTTATTTTAAAAACAAGACTTATTTTATTGTAATGCTGGGAATTGTTTTCATTCCCAGACGGAAATGAATCTCAAATAGTCCCCCGAGATAAGCACCTACCTTTCTTCCCTGTGAAGTGCTGCCAATAACAGAAGTGTCAAATGAACTAGAAAAAAAATCCACCTGAAGTACAAAGAGCTTCAAGAATGAATCTGAATCGATCGTACGACTTTGCTTCCTGCAAAGGTTTCATCATCTTGGCCTGACTTTTATCCTTTATGGGAGAGGCAATCACCTCCCAGCCTTACTCCTGAGTCGCCCCTTTTGTTTCAGTTGCTCTCGCCTTCTAGCAGCTCTGTGCATGCGCGCACTGGGAACAGGCTCCCCTGGGTCCTCTGCCTCGCTGCTGCCAGCCTCTGGAGGCTCCGGAGTCAGCACCCCACTCTCAGATGGTCCTGGCCCCATCTCTGCATCAGATGCAGGACCCTCGTCTGATTCCTCTCCAGACTCCTGGACTGGTCCCCGTTCTTCCCCACTGTCCGATTCCGCTGCCGTCTGCATTGGCTGCAAGCGAACCACAACAGTAATACTTTTCTTTTCTCCTTTAGGCCTCTTGCGTACAGCACCCTGGCCGATCTGGTCCATCATGTCCGCCAGCATTTACCCCTCAACGATCTCTCCCTCGCCGTCCAGCTCTTTGCCAAGAATATTGACGACGAATCTCTGCCCAGCAGTATCCAGACCATGTCGTGCAAACTTCTGCTGAACCTGGTGGATTGCATTCGGTCCAAGAGCGAGCAGGAAAATGGAAACGGCAGAGATATCCTCATGAGGATGTTGGAGGTGGGAAGGCTTGTACGAGGGAATGAGGAGGTCGCAGTGGTGGGACTGCTGGTCTTAAACGACACCACTACTCAGGGACGTGGTGTCTCGCAAGAGAAGTTGGGTGCTGGAAGGGGAATGATTAGATTAGAATTCTTTATTGGCCAAGTGTGATTGGACACGAGGAATTTGTCTTGGGTTAGGGTTAGGGCCCTCCCATCTGCCTCTCCTTTAAACTCCATTCCCAGGTGTGCCTTGTGAAGGGAATCAGGGCCCTTTCCTCCCTCATAAGCCAAACAACCCCCGTTGCTCCCTTCTCTGTTCTTCCCTGCGTGCCCCAGGATGAAGAGGGGGTGGGCCTTGGTCTTCCTCTGAACTCCCTCTCCCTTGTTCTACCTGTTCCCTGCTCTGCCCAACTGGACTTTGCCCTTCCCCAGTTTCCTCCACAGCCGACGGAGCCACACTTCTGCTCCCCGTCAGCTGTTTGTCTTCCCCGTCAGATTAGGATTTGGGCATGACATCTTCTCTTACTCATTCCTTAGGTGTTCGTCTTGAAATTCCACACCATTGCCCGCTACCAGCTTTCCATCATCTTTAAAAAGTGCAAACCCCAGTCGGAACTGGGGGCGGGAGAGGCAGCTTTAACGGGTGCCCCGGCAGGGGGAAACGCCCTCCCGGTCACGGTGCCCTCTCCTGCGCCCACCACCCCGGTGGTCCCTGCTTCGGGGCCCGTCTTTGAGAAGCAAGGGGAGAAGGAGAAGGAGGACAAACAGACTTTTCAAGTCACGGATTGCCGAAGCTTGGTGAAGACCTTAGTCTGCGGGGTCAAGACGATTACGTGGGGCATCACGTCTTGCAAAGCCCCTGGAGGTGAAATGGACTTGTGTTTAATTTTTTTTTAAATGTATACTGTATATATTTGGGTAGGAATAGAACAGAACAGAACAGAATAGAAAATATGGAGTGGAGTGGAATGGAATAAGAATAGAATAGAATAGAGTACAATAGAATAGGAATAGAATAGAATAGAATAAAAGTATAGAATTAGAATAGAATTAGAATAGAATAGATATAATATAAGAATAGAATAGAGAATAGAATAGAATAGAACAGAACAGAATTTGAGAATAGAATAGAATAGAATAGAATTAGAAATACTGTAGAATAGAGAATAGGAATAGAATAGAATAAAAGAATAGAATTAGAATAGAATAATAGAATATAGAATAGAATAGAATAGGAATAGAATTGAATCGAAAATAGAATAGAATAGAATAGAATAGAATATAGGAATAGAATAGATTATAGGAATAGAATAGAATAGAATGGAATTCTTTATTGGCCAAGTGTGATTGGACACACAAGGAATTTGTCTTGATGCAGATGCTTTCAGTCTTGATAAAAGAAAAGATACGTTCATCAAGAGTCAAGAATCATCAGGTACAACACTTAATAACGGTCATAGGGTACAATAAGCAATTAAATCATACTAGGAAATAGTCAATATAAATCGTAAGGATACAAGCCACAAAGTTACAGTCATACAATCACAAGTAGAAGGGGATGGGCGATAAGGAGTGATGAGAAGATTAATAGTAATAGTGGTGCAGACTTTGTAAATAGTTGGACAGTGTTGAGGGAATTATTTGTTTAGCAGGGTTCAGGGAAAAACTGTCCTTGTGTCTAGTTGTTCTGGTGTGCAGGGCTCTACAGCATCACTTTGAGGGAAGGAGTTGAAACTGTTTATGTCCGGGATGTGAGGGGGTTTGTAGATATTTTCACAGCCCTCTTTTTGACTCGTGCAGTATAAAGGTCCCCCATGGAAGGCAGGTTGGTAGCCATTGTTTTTTTCTGCAGTCCTAATTATCCTCTGAAGTCTGTGTCTTTCCTGTTGGGTTGCAGAACCAAACCAGTCCCGGACCTTTAAATTAAAATGTGTGAATTTGGAACTTGGCTCTGGGGTTTGTTGGTTTGTTTTTTTGCTTTTTAAACAAAATGTTTTATTTATCCGTATCCCATCTTGGCTATATTTTACAAATCACTCAAGACGGCAGATATATCCAGCACACCTTCCTTCCTTCCTGTTTTCCCCACCACAGAATAACAGAAAACAGAGTTGGAAAGGGACCTTGGATTGGTGCAAGGTTTTATTGTTATACGAACTAGAGATCTTTTACCGCAAAAAAAAAATCTGATTTCAGTGATTTCTTCTCTTTCCTCTGTTTTTAATTTAGAAGCCCAGTTCATTCCCAATAAGCAGCTTCAACCTAAAGAGACCCAGATCTATATAAAATTGGTCAAATATGCCATGCAAGCGTTGGATATTTATCAGGTATGTATCAGGATGAATGTGCCTTATAACTCTTGATTTGGAAGAAGATTACAGGTAGTGTTCGATTTACGACCACAATTGGGATTTGGAAGTTTTGGTCACTATGCAGTGTGGTGAGTCCACACTGCAATTCATTCACTATTCAGGGAGTCCCGCCACATTTTACAATCCTTTTTTGCCTTGTTTGCTAAGCTCGTTATCTCTTTATATCATCCATCCATCCTTCCTTCCTGTCTGTCTGTCCGTCCGTCCATCTGTCCATCCATCCATCTCGCTTTCCATCCATCCATCCATCCAACCATCCATCCATCCATCCATCCATCCACCCATTGTGCTATCATCTATCTATATTAGCTGATGTTTTATCTAAACTTAACGTTTATCTATCGGAGATCGCGTGACCCTTGTAGATGCCCCTTGCTGAATCAGTAAAAGCCCAGCGTTTTCCCATTTGAGGCACCAAGGACCCTCATTCTAATTCTGCGAAATGTCTCCCTTGAACCCAGGTCCAAATCGCCGGGAACGGGCAGACGTACATTCGGGTCGCCAATTGCCAAACGGTCAGAATGAAGGAAGAGAAAGAGGTCCTGGAACACTTTGCGGGGGTCTTCACCATGATGAACCCCCTGACTTTCAAAGAAATCTTCCAGACGTCTGTGCCTTACATGGTGGAAAGGATCTCCAAGAACTACGCCCTTCAGGTAGTATGTTTTGTTCACTAGACAGTGAGAGACTGGGCATCAAAGCTCAACCATTCTTCTCCAGCACCAATTTGTAAGAGTCGCGGCATTTTATTGGGCATTGCCAGGTTGGCTGTGCACCAGAGGTTGGACTATGACCATCAAGATTGAAGGTGAAAAGTGGCAAGATCTCTCTAACAACATCCACCTCCAGTTGATCTAAAAAAATCCCCCCTACCCCCCCATAATAACAACCCTGTGAAGTGATTTGGGCTGGTCCAAAGTCACCCAGCCAGCTTTCATAGCTAAGGTGGGATTAGAACTCTGAGACACCTGGTGGCTGGCCTTCAAAGTCACCCAGCCCACTTAGATGCCTAAAGTGGGACTAGAAATCACAGTTGCCTGGTGACTGGCCCAAAGTCACCTGGCCAGCTTTCATGCCTAAGGCGGGACCAGAATTCACTGTCTCCTGGTGTTTGGTTCATAGTCACCCAGCCGGCTTTCAT